TCAGGGACTAGAACTATTCATATCAATGGAAATATCACACATTAACAAGTCTGCACACAACCAATGAGCCACATGTACAAGTGCCATTTACAAATACCAGTGTGCGACCGTCTATAGACTCTCTTCAACTGTCCTGTATTACAAATATCCAATAGAGAATGTTTTTTTAGTGATTCCACATGATAGATTTGATGAGCATGCATCCACTGCTCATCACTTTACTGCGGTAATGGTAAGAAAGGTCTAATTCTTCACACTGAAATAAAATGATGGCCCCTGCCACTAATGGCCCCTAATGTTATTGAATATTTGAACATGTATATTATGCTTCTGCTGTTTGCAGAGCCTCTAGGCAGGTGACGGTGAATGACAGTGTTTTTTTCACTGAGGCCATTGTGACATAGGCACAGCTCTAAATGCACCCTGCATTACTCATCTAAAGCAAGGATTATAACAGACAATTGTGAAACTGCAGCAACTCCATACAATTGTAATAAAGCTAACGAAAGGAGCTAATAATTCTAAGCCACATGAAATGTTTTGGTTTAGTTGTATCCACTGTTATTTAAACTACTGCTGTCTGGCTTTAAAGAAAGCTATTAAAGGTTTTGGAAAATAAAGTTCTATCATAATGAGCATTTACTGTAGAGTACGGGTATATTTAAGAACCAGTGTCAGTCTGAACAAAATCATCTAAACCCTGCATGCCGTTTAACACAGACAAACTAAACCAATTGGATGCAGAGAGGTGCAGACACAGTTCAGAATCAGAAGCAAAACTCACAGTTCAGCATGTACTGTACATGCATTAAAGTCATTCAGATACAAAGAGGCCTTCTCCTCACTAAGATTGAGAGGCACCATTTCAGCTATTTCCACTGCTGACACCGATGTCAATAATCTGGCTCTGCCAATTCCTGACTCTTACACAACCATCTATTTTCTTCTGCTCTATCCAAAGCCAGGTAGAAAGACAGCAGAGCAGAGATGTTCAGACTCCCATCACATGCATGCTTCCGTCCATTATTAACCGAATAATGCCGAGGTGCTCGGTGCTCCCAGGCCTGGTGAGAGATACAGTCCCTCCAAGGCCTCCCTCTAGGGCAGAGTCCAGGCGGCACCCAGAACAGATGCCTAAACCACCTCAACTTGCTCGACTCCGAGCTCTTCCCATGAGCTCCTTCTCCCATCTTCAAGAGGGCATCCAGTAAATCTTTGGAGACAGTTCATGTAGACCACTTGTTTCTGCGCTCCCATAGGAGAGGGTTGGACAATTGCCTTTGGACTCAGCTCTCTCTTCTCCACAACAGTCCGCTACAGCAACCGCGTCACTGCACACGCTGCACTGATCGGTCTGTTTATCCTTCCCTTATTCGGGAACAAGGCCATTGTAGGAACCTGAACTTCTTCACCCTTTATATTGATACAACATAACCATCAAAATGCTGGAAATGACTGCATCTCTATTATTTCCAGTGCTCTTAAGATGAGTCAGGACCAGTTGGAGTGAGTAAAGTTAGCATCATCTGTCCCAACTCAGACATAAGTGGACTTTGGAATTTAATCTTTTTCTGTGTAGGGTTGACCCCATTTATAACAGGGAGGTCCTGATTTTAATTGTACTTCAAGATGTAGAAAATCTACCCATGTCCTGCCAATACCAATCTTAATACTTTTACAGCGCTCTCCTCTGGCAGAATTGAATCACAACGCCGATTTAATAAGCACAATATAATTTGTATTAGCTCACAGTAAACCGAATGTGATGATGCTGATGAATAAAGTGCAGCACAGATGTGAAAAGTATGATTATGACTATACTCTCAAGCGAGAGTGCTAACCACTCTGCCATCGTACCACTCCCTGGTTGGCTGCGTATGAGCATAGACTGAAGGGTTGTATAAAATGCACTGTCAATGGACCGGGCAGCTAATACCGATACTAATATCAATATCAATATTGGGACATTCCTAATTTATAATTAAAGTGAATCAGTCATCAGAGGTCAAAGCGAGGGTCTCAGCTTCAATAAGATAGACCCTAACTCTTCAGTTATCAATAGGCTAACGTAGTGAGCAGTTAAAAACATATCTGTGCCTTTAGGCAAAGGCAAGCAACGGTGACAGCTGAGGAGGCCAGGAGAGGAGAGAGCGCCAAACTGCAGTCATTCAAAAGTGTCCTGCACTTTCCCCTCTCAAAATAAATATGTATTTTTATCAAAATCAAAACAGATTCAAAAACTCAAACTCTTCCCTCTGCTGAGCACACACACTCACAGTTGCCCTTTTTCTGCTTCCAGCCCCTCACAGCTCCTCACAGCACCTCACAGCTCCTCACAACTCCCCATAGCTCCTCACAGCTCCCTGGATATGAGGAGCAGAGTCACACCGTTTCGACTGCTTGATACACACCTACAATAGACACTTACACACACATACAAGGCTTTTTTGGTAATAGGCCTAATCACAGAGAAATGTGCAGCCAAAGTCTTTGAACTGGGCGACTTGGAAATATGTTTACATAAGCTTGTGGAGCGATCAATTAGCGGCACCACACTTCACATTCCAGCGAAAACAATACAAAAACATGCAAGAATAAAACAAAGAAATGTGTTTTTGCAGAGAAAGCAGAAAGCCCTAAACCTGAACTAAAACAAATCCAGGACTAAACCAGGACAGGAAAATATCTAAACCAAGACTAAGCAGGATTAAAGTATTGGAATCAAGCCGCTCTAAATCAGGACGAAAACCAGTATTATAGAACTAAATCAGGTCTAAACCAGGTTGTGCCAGGTCTGAATCATCTCTGACAGAAATACATTAATATCATTAAAAGATTAAGTCAAGTGAATACTAGACAATGCTGAGCCATTTATTCGGGCCACTTGTTAAAATCATTATTAAAACAAGATAATAATAATAATAGTAGGTTGATGTGTGTGGCCATAATGGCTGTGTTTTGTTGGACTAAACAAATCTGTTGGATGGTTCCAACCAAATGAAAACGGACAAATCCAGAATAGATAAAAGGCCAACAGTTACGTATCCTTTGCTACATGAACATCACTCTATAGCTTGAGAGTTTTGACCTACTGTAAAGGTTAGGGATTTGCTCAGGTAGGCTCGTATGGCCCCCAATGTAAACAATAAACAAAGATTACTGTTTAGTGATTAGGACAATATTTCACAACAGGGCGTTAGTCTGTGTGGATAGTCAGCTTAACTAAAAACATCAGCTTAAACACTCATTTCAAAGTTATAAGGTAAGATAATGAATGTGTGTCATATGATGTCGTATCCACAAATATTCTCAGCATCTTTTTTTAACTGCAGAAAAACTCCAAATGAAAGTTGAGTTTAAAGCAGGCCTATTCATGAGAAGAAAAGACTACTTCCATAAATCCATATATATATATGTTCAGTGATGCCAGCTGTTTGCTGTGTGGCGAGCTGCGGGAAGCACGCCAGATCAGGATGACTGGCTCAATCTCAAGAAAAGTGACATTTACATTTCCATTTGTGCTTATGAGCCACTGAATCACTGCTGCTTTTATGACTGAGAGAACAAAGCTATTTCCAACACGGCTTATTAAGCTGTGTCACATAAAAAGGGAGGATTTGGAGGAAGCACTAACAGTGTACTTCTCCCAAATGTTCTCTGAGCTCAGCACTTTGTGTCCTTTAGCTACAGCTGCAAGGTCAAGTTAGTCACCTGTTGGAACAGTCTTTGGTCTTAAAGGAAACAGAGAGAGCTAAACCTGTGAGACAGGCCTCCTCAATGACAATGTTTAAAACCAGGTTAAAGACAGTTCTGTTTAGCTGTGCATACAACTAAGGGATTTTATATTTTTAGCTTTCTTTTTAATGTTCTGTGATTATTTATGATTTTAATGCTTTCTTGTTTTGTTCAGCACTTTGAGTTGCCTTGTGTATGAATTGTGCTATATAAATAAACTTGCCTTGCCTTGCCTAAACCTTGGGATATTTATCAAGCATAAATGTGAATTTCAGAGATATTAGCCTCAAGTAAGTCATTATAATGTAATAGATTTAGTTAAAACTATAGTATATGTTTACATTACAGTACAGAATCATATATTACATTGTTTATAACTACAATCATTAAATTTGTGGAAGTTATATTTATATGTAGCCTCCGTTTTAAACTGTTATTTGTTATGAGGGGATATGCTAAAATATAAAGTAGTATAACAGAAATTAGCACATTGGAAATGTTTATGGAATATTATAATTGCCTTACATCAAACAAAAAAGTTTATTTTGGGGTAACAGATGCTCACAGAGAACTTTAAATAAAGAGTTGGGGGTTCAAAAGAAGTGGGGATTGATTAAAATGTGAGTATGTGTGGTACAATACAAATTAAGAAAGATCAAACAACTTTGAATCTAAGAACGTCTTCAACATCCTGTTAATAAAGTTTTATTCTAACAATTAGGTGCAATGTTGAGTTTGGGTCTATGATTAGTGCAAATGTGTTGCTTTTGTTATTTGCAGAAAATAGACAATGCTGTTTGTCATCATGAACAGGCTTATGTACAAGACATGTATTTCTGCATATTCTACATGGAAGCTTAGAGCCCTTTAGCAAATCAAGGGTAGATATAGTTTATTTTCTTTGCACATATAATATATATTTTCTCAATATTTTTATTTGTTTGTAACCTATTATGGCTTTCCTTGTTATTTCAAGGCCATTGTAGAGTACCCATAGCTCCAATTATTTATAGGCCTCCTTTTTTTCTTTTCTGTGTATCCCACGCTGTAACCATGGCAAACTATGACACAATTCTTTACCCAATGCGTCGTGCACAAAGCCCAGCACTGTGAACCTGCATCCACATCAGCAAACCTAATTGAAATATATGTAGATGAAAGATTGAATTCTTGTTTTCTGACTGTTGGTTATATTTTGTGTGATCATGACTTATGCTTAGGCAACACCGATGCAGATGAGTCAAAGCTTATCTCGCCACACTTACATGGAGGTGATATTCTGAAACTGGTCCTCGATGCCTGCGCTGCCGTTGCCAGAGCTTTGGCCCTGGAAAGACAGCGGCGGGAAGAACTTGCTGTCGTCCGACTTGTTGCAGAAGATGTCGGTGGGCGAGCAGCTGCAGGTGGGCGGACAGTCCAACACCGAGCCCAGGTACCGCTGCAGCAGCAAGCTCAGCACCAGCAACAGCCTGGGCCACCGCCACGTCCCGTCCAGGGCGCTCCACACCGCCCCGAAGCCCCCCATCGTGTGTCCTGTCACAATCCCGCTCCACGCACCGCAAATGTCCACAAAAGCCCCGAGTCCGACCGTGCGTAGACTTCCAAAGCGTGTTTAAGTATCCGCTTCACGTTACATGTCCAAATTTGCGTGCGAGCACCGGTGTGAGACGTACGAGGCGTGAGGTTAGATGTAATCATGCAGATAAATCAACCTCCTGCCGCAAAACAGCAGCGTGACACATCCACGCTGAGTGACACATGCACGCAGCAATCTGCAGGTGCACCACGGTCTCGCCTCTCCTCTTCTGTGTGCGCACATGTCATCCGTCCATCTCCACACGTCCCTGCGCTCCTGCCTCTCTCTCTCTCTCTCTCTCTCTCTCTCTCTCTCTCTCTCTCTCTCTCTCTCTCTCTCTCTCTCTCTCTCTCTCCCTCTCTCTCTCTCTCTCTCTCTCCTTCACCGCGCGCGTGCGAGTCTGGATGCGTGCGTGCGCGTGTGTGGATGTGTGCATGGATGTGGATGTGCAAAGCATTTCCACCTAGCGGTCACATTGTGCACTAACTGACTTAATACATGTTAGGGCCACGTAATAATTAGACCGCTTTTACAGGCATCTTTAGGCCTTCTGTTATTGTGGATTATCACCAGAGCAGCGGTTTTCAGACTGTTCACACCAAATGCCATCAATATTTGGCCTTGTTATACCACCATCTAATTCTGGTCTACAACAGGACTTAGTTTGGGTCCAAATACGGACAACCAGGTGGAATAAAGGAATAGTTAGTTTTCAGAAAGAGTGCCATTAAAATATATATATTTGAAAGGCTAACAATTTTCCCTTTCAGTAGTTTTGAGAAAATCCAGATTGATTTTAGTGCCATTCAAATAAAGTTTCACCCCTCTTTGAGCAAATCCTTTTAAATGTTCTGCCAATAACAGAGCATTGGCAGAGCATGGGGAAGATTTTGTAACTTTAACGTTTTTCTATTGCCTCTTTGGTTCAGCGTTGGTGTTTGTTGTCCTCTGGTCCACTCTGGTCTTAAAAAAGAATCACCTTGTGGAAGCATGTGGCGTAAAATTGCTCTAAATTCAACAAATAATTTAAGTGAAGTGGACTTTGTGTACCATCTGAAAGAGCTCATGTAGATTCATCACAAATTCACAGAAAGAAAAAATAAATAACCTTTAGAGTGAACAAAACAATATTTTTTTTACAGCCCCACCCATTCATGTAGCATATTTTTGTGAGCATCCATGTTTTTTTAATATAGCCACAATACATTATGGATGAACCATTGATTCAATGGATAGTTAATGTAGTGTGTGTGTGACCAGGCTGTGGTTTCATGATGGATGGCCTCCATCTCTTTTCACTGTTTCTTTGCTATCCCCGCCCATCCATGTGACAATTGAATCGGCCAAAAAACATTAATAAAAATCAATACTTTTAATCACAGTGTTAAAAGGATAATCTGGTTTTGGGTTGGATCTATCTATTTCAGACTTTCTATGACAACCACATATTAAAATAATCTAGGGGGTTTTTTTTGCAGTGATTTGCAGCCTCATGTCTCAGTATGAAGGTTCTGGGTTCGACTTCAGGGCCCCACAGCCACTCGTGGATCTCCGCCTGGGAGGGGTTTAAAATATGAGATATGTCCCTGAGTGTTGTGCTGTGACGCCCATAGCTCCTGACAGCTTGCCCCAGTCACTGCCATTATATGGGCAGAGAATATGGATTATGCTATACACAAGCAAACTCAATTTACCTCTACCCACCAACCTGTCAGAATACGCTTGTCCTCGCTCAGATGTCAATCCAGTGATCCTTGTGTTTGGAGATGTGCTGGGAAAGACAGGATAAAAAGATATAGGTCAAAAAGTTAAAGTTTCAGGCAGTATAACAGACTAGAGTTCAGTCTGTCTACCTTGTGGACATGTCAGTCACACATCCAAGTGACTGCGAAAGTGCGGCTTCACAGCTTCACACTGTAGCATTGTCACCATGACGACATGTGTGTGTGTGTGTGTGTGTGTGAGTGTGTGTGTGTGAGTGTGTGTATGTGTGTGTTCTTACCTGTCGATCCTCATGATGTACGATGCGGGGTGTGGCGAAAACCTCTCAGAATTGTCTTTGTTGCCGGCTGCACAGAACCTGCTTCACTGCACCACCAGCACATCTTCACTTTATTCTCTGGAAGCAATATAACGAATAAAGAACATTATAATAAAATCAAACTCAAGGCTTGTGATCAAAGCAGATACGGTCAAAATACATGTATTTACATGTATTTATCATGTAAATACATGTATTTATCAGGAGAAAAAGTCCAGCTGGCTGAAATATAAGCATGTTTGTTGTTTTAATGCTTTTATTGCACTAATAATACACATTCTTATCCCTACACGACTTCGTCCAGAAAGAGGGCTTTATCCTTGTTTCAATGGACGTTATGTTCTTTTGGCTTAAGGGTTCTTAACCTTTCATGGAATCATATTGTTTTCATTTTGCTTGTCATATCAATTTGAAAAACGCTTAGACTGTTTCTACATGTGAATAATTTGATTATCTTTGTTTGAATTTGTTTTTTACACATCATACTGCATGATTACAGATATTCCTTCTGCTCTGTTGGCCTTTTGGAGGGGAGCCATGTTTGCAGGACACATTTATTGTTAGGTTAGAGACAGAGGCTCTGTGGTCTTCATTAATGGACATCATGTTTTATTGATGGTGCCAACAGGCTGTGGTCTGGGTTGGGACTCCACATATTGGATCACTAATGTAACCGGCCAAAGATGTGGGCACAGACGCCATTCTACACCATTTACAATCCTCTCTATTAGTATTGTGGGCACTACACTATTTTAAATCATGCACTTTACTTTAAATCATGCAAATGTATAACAAATGCACTGCTTTGCGTTGTACATGAGGGCTTCAACAAAAGGACAAGATTTTGTTCTGACTGAAATCTAAAAAATATACACTCTTAAATCTAAAGACCACAGCATACTGTCTTTACCTTATTATAAACCTTATATCTCTTACATACTGCTTTTTGGCTGACTGAGGGTTTTTTCACTGAAAAAGGGAATCTAGAGATGTGACAAAGGCCAAAGGTACATGTATGTGAGAACTGGTGAAAGAACCAAACTGTTTTGAGAGTGAGGGACTCGTTACATGAATTGTATTATGTTTTTTTGTTTTTGTTTAGAAGTTTCCACATGTTTTACTTCCACATGTACAGTAACGCAAAGAAAATTCTAATATCAACAAAATCAAATTCGACAGTGGCTGGAGAGACGTTTTTTGTTCCAACATAAGTGAACATCCGAGTGTCAGTCCATTTCTCCTAACAGAGCGGTAAAGCATGAGTTTCCTGCCTCCCTCCGCTGAGCCCTCGGGGTCCTGGTTCCACAGCGACAGTGGCCTGTGCTAAAGCTAAACACATCAGAGGCCCCACACACTCCAACCATGACACTCTTTATGTGGTTATCACCGCGACGTGCACTCAAGGCTTTTATGGACCACACCGCACTGTGTTTTGCAAAGATACACAAGAAGCACTATTGTAAAGAGCACATACTAACCTGCTTCAACATTACATTCACTATTCATTGTTAAACTTGACAAATTTAGATGTATTTTTTTTTGCTGGAAAAGCTGGAAAAAGAAGCAAATGAGGAGGCAAAAAATACAAGAAAAGGAATCAGGGATAATAAGCTCTATAGATGCCCAATATTCTTGCAAATTATGTTAAGGAAAGATAAATTTATTTATTTATTTATTTATTGTAAATTAATTTAATCTGTTAAGAATAACATTCATTTTAAAACGTGAATTGTTTGTGGCATTACTAATCTTTGAGTTTACTCTGAGGGTGTAGTCTGCCACACTAACATACATTGTTGTACGGCTAGGATAATACTTTAGGCTCAATACTATTTGTAGTGAGCTTCATATTGTTTTGTTTGCCCTTTATACCCTCAGGCAAAACTATGTTCTCGTTATAATAAAATGAATGTGGCATAGTATCGTTTCAGTGGACTACTATGAGAAGGCATTGTTATATTGCTGAATGTATTAAAAGAAAAATTGTTGAAATTGAATGGGAGTGTGTTTTGTTCCACTATGCAAATGCTTTGAATGCAGAATGAATGTTTACCTGAAGTCTTTGTCAGGTAAACAGTTTCTGGATATTTGATAAGTGATGTGCAGGTCTTAAAAAGGTTTGAGATACAGAGGATGATTAGGCCGTAAGTCTGAGCTCAGTCCATCCAAAGGCCCTATACCTGCACAGATAAGGTCTCCTCATATCTGCCTGTCCTTTAATACACATTCAGGCCAAAATAAATATACTTATGGACAGACTATTGGATTATTTAATGTTGTTTTGGAGATCCTTCCAGAGAGTTCAGCCCATTTGGCCACTAACAGTCTTTGTTTGAGTCCTATCAAAGACAACATGCACGAGTCTATGAAGTGTGCTGCAGCAAAAGCCACAGGGCCTATACCCATTAATGGACCAGACCACTGTCCACACACACACATTACATTTACCATTTCTCCTGTTTATCCATGATCCAAGTCCAATTACCCCAGTCTTCATCATTCAGATCTCCTAATGCCTCCTGTTCCTCTTGTTAAGGCCCCATCCATCCTGGTAATGGTTGTAATCTGCACTGTCCCGGGATGCTGCTGGCCTTCATCCTCTTCCTCTTCTTCCTTCCTTTTCTGGATGCTGCTTTTGGACATTGCACATGAAGAGAAACATGTCGAGTGTCAAAATGTACCACGTCAAACTCATTTTTGCAAGTGCCACATTCTAAAAAAGGACTTTTTTATCCTTTACTGTATACAAAGGTCTTCATCTTTTTCTTTGTAGATAGTTTGTCTATAGCTCATCTTTGTGAATGTCCATGATATAATACATAAGAATGTCTTTAATTGTATGTAGGGCATATGCCTCGTACTATAAATGCTATTCTAACTACACTGGTGTATGCTAAGATATAAATCTATGGTTTGTAGGCACAGTCCAAAAAGATCCAGGAGACACAAAAGCAAAACTGTTCACTATAAAGCCATGGGAGAACCTGATACTGGATACTTTTGTGCCTTAATTAGCTATATCGTTTGGTACTATAACTTATTTATTCTGTATTTACTATACAGTATCTATTGCTGCACCATAATGCTGAGGCAAATTTGTAGTTGTTAACATTCTGATTCTAAAAAAACACATTTACTTTCTATGTTTGTATCTCAGAACTATTTTTAATTTACGCTAAATATTGTTAGAAAAGCAGAAAGAGCAGCTTTTGTTCTATTACCGGCATCTGGCCACAACAAAGATGAAACCCAAAAGGAAAACACATTCTTTCTTACATCTACTTTTTCAAGTAAACATTTATCATCTTTAACGTCATTGTATTCATTTTCAGCATTGATTTGTTTGCAATAAAGTTTGAAGTTTCCATCTCTTCCCTACTCAATTAATGTACTTTCCCATTTCTTGTAAAACTGCAAACACCTATGGCTATTTTTACCATTAATGAAATAAAAAGATAAATGATTCTGGTCTTATCTGACTAAAGTGCCGACCGAGGCGTAAACCAATCCCTGGAAACTTGATTATCTGAGGACGTTTTATCTCCAGCTCTCTCTTTACAACTCCATACTGCATTATGTTGTTATGTTGGCACACCCAGAGTGACTTGTTTTCTATTGAGCTGCGTAAATGGAAGCTGACCACAGATCCAAATGTCTTTTAAGTTTTAACTCCTCTCTAATGCTCTAATTTACTAATGCAACCTCACCACAAACCCCAGTAGTCAGCAGGCCGGTGTGTCTCCAGTTTGTGTGTGCACAGATAGAGCAGAAGAGGGGTCATTAGCGGCTCTTTGTGGCCCCCGATATGACTTCATGGTACCACACAGCATTCCTGGTGCGCCCGGTAAGACTCTAAGTCCGGCCACAGAACAGCTAATGCACTGCCCACAACATTATGACAGAAGGCCACCGGGAACACTACGAGCTGGGGAGTTGTTTTGGTCTTCAAAACAAACAAATGATAGTGGTGAAGATTGAAATGTGTTTCTGGAAACAGTGGAGTCACTGTAAAGATGTGCAGTGGTTGTGTACAGAGTGTATTCTTTTTCAGGTCTTCTTTCTTAAAAAAAAGAAATAGGAGGGTGTAAATTAATCTCACATATTATGATGAAATTTGCATGGGATAAAATGTATGTTGAGCTGTTTTGTAGCTTTGTTTTAGGGCTTACTTTGGTTCCTTAAGCCAAATTTGAGAAGCATTTACAGCTATGACTCTTCATTTATGTGGTGTGTTCGTTGTGAGTGCTTGTATGTGCGCTGCAACATGAGCAATTCTTACTGAGCGGTGAATGAAGGTTTACTTATCTGCTCCGGTTTGTCTTATTTCACCAGTCCACCATCATTGTTCATTCTTTGACCCACAACTACATCCATAAAACACAGATTCACATATTTAGAGTCAAATTTCCCTCAAAAAGACACCCTGTTACTATCCTATTGTTTTAGAATCCTGAAACCTGATAGAGCCAGATGGACTGGCAGTTCAGTCCATCTGCTGCTCTGATGTCTTTCACACATAAATACATACATACATGCAGTACATACATACATACATACATACATACAACACACGTATGAACAATTGAGAGACGGACCATTTTGAGCCAGGGGTCCTGTGTGTGATTTCCCCCTTTAATCGAGGTGCTGAAATGCGTTTCCAGGCCTGGCCCACTATCCCCTACTCACACACTATACTGAGAGCTGTGCCTGGAAAGACCAGACTCGGCCTACAGACAGCCATTCGATCAATACACATATACTTTTTCAGAGATTACAAACTGTAGTTCCATATTAATGTGAACCATGCAAAAGAAAATAATCTATTTTAGGCAAAGTTAAAAAATGGCAATAATAAGGATAAAAGTTATATAGTTTCAGAAATACTGTAATAATAACTGAAATGATAATGGAAATAATAATAATAATAATAATATACAGTATAGAAAGGATTTAATATGTAATAATAATGATTAATACATAATCTGCAATATAAGTTAATAGTTCATTAGTATCATCTCAAAACAGATCCTACCAATTCACAATGTCACAAAATACAATAGTTGGGGTTAAATACATTACCCCTGATTATATTTACAAACAATAGGCCTGTATTTGAGCTTCTACAGAACAAACATTATCAGCATCAAAAACAACCCGGACCAGAAGGCAGAGCAGATTGCGTTACAGTAAACCTTTTAACCCAATATGTGCATGTGAAGTGTTCCAGTGAAACGTGACTGTTGAGGTCAAATCCACGAGGCCGAGGTCCAGACGGCCAGGACCCCAGTGTGAGGCTGACATGACCCCACAGCTGCAAACAGAGCTACCCCTTCACATGGGAACAGCCAGCCCTTGACCTTCGTCATCTGTCACTGCTCTCTGCCTCAGATTCTCTTTCACTGATAGGAGAAGGACCTCCACTCAAATTCACTCCAGGGGAAGCAACGTGGCAATCACAGCATTGGTATATCAAAATATAATGATAATACATTTTATTTATAATGGACTTTCCATTTTACAACAAATCCCGAAGTGGTAGAAATTAAAAAGACAAAGAGTGGCCTAAAACATCAAGGCAGTAACATAAAAATAAAAAATAGGGGAAAAAATGACACAACATTATTGGATTTGTGAATAGATATCAAAGCAGGTTGTCAAAGCAGGTTATCTTCTGCCTTACCGGTCCTGCCCAAAACACGCACGTCCAAACTAAGGCCTGCGGGTCAATTGTGGCCCTCTTTGTCATTTTCTGTGGCCCTCTGCTCGTCTAACTTAAAGGTATATGGGAGGATTTTCTATTTCCGGGTGGATTATCAAGACTATTGGTCCTCCCAATTGTCAAGCATTCTAGTGATACGTGCTCGTCAAATAAGACCAGAGAATTTTGTTTAAAAAGTGCAGAGGGTGGTTCTTTCCTAAAATTTGGGGAAATCCTCCTGTATACCTTTAAAGAAGTCTTTAAGATCATAACCACAAGTTCACGATCTCATCCAGCCAACTTCAGCTCTCACAACATAGGAATAGTATACCTTGTTAGACCAGAACCTCTAGAGTTCAGTTACATTATTAATTTCTTTAATCTTCGTTGTTGATTTTCATAACATTTCATTTATGGTGCTAATGTTGCTGTGGTGAGACAGTTCATGATAGTAAACACAGTTTCTGTTAACTGTAAGTACAAACACTTGGTCCAAACTGATTTAAAATCTGGGTTGTCGGTTCCTGGATAATTCTGGTGAACTGAAGAGGCCCTCTAACTAAAAAGTGTGCATACTTCTGATATAGACCTTTGGAGAATGTGAGATTAAAAGGCTATTTGTCTGAAATAGGCAGCCATGCTAAAACACACCTTAAATATTCTTTTGTATCTTTTCCATGATAGTCTGCTCTGGTGGATGGTGGTGCCAGTGCCTGTCGTCGATAACCATAGCATGGAGACCTCTCAGTCCAGCAGCCGATAGCCCCTGACCCATCTCTGTGTGTTTTATCAATAGGGCGACCTGGAGGGGTTATGTCTCTCTTGGTGAGCTCTGCAGATGTGCTCTCTGGACCTCACCATTGATTGGTATAGTTAGAGACTAACTATACCAATTGACTCAGGATGGATCAGCATTGCAGACAACTGGCACATGATACCAGCCATTACAACCAATTACTCTGTCTGCTTCTGTCCTTCTAAAGTCAATTAAAAAATATACCTGTTATACAGCATTTATAGACTATACACTTTAAAGAGTGATTTCTTGAATTTATGGACATTATGGAGACCGTACAATCAGCATGTGGTGTAATGCATCTGTATTTTTGTATTTATTAATGAGGGTTTAATTGATAATAACCCAGAGAGCCCAAAAGATTCAACAGGACAGAAGCCCCCATCTGGGAGACGCCTTCTTTTCAAAGTGAAAATTGAGAAGATGAGAAGCTTTTATCTTGCATCCATACAATTAAATCAGGCCAAATATTCTTTACATTCACTTCATATTGAATGTTATGTTTCATGTTACATCAGCTGCATCTCATATGACTTGTTTATTTAACTTCAAACTTGCTTTACTTTACTGTGCATTTCATTGCATATTTAACTGGACTCTATATGTCCCCTAGTGGAGGTCCTATACACACTCCCATAGACTCAAATCGAAAGTATTGTGTTTTATTCATACTTAACTCAACCAAGTGAAATCTTTCATAAATAAAATTAATGTATTAATTATCTTGTATCATTGTATGCACACACGTTACTATTCAAAACGACAGAAAATATCATACATTGGAGAGTGAAAATGTTCCATAAGTTCCTATTATAGACTTTTAGTATATAAGGTCTATGGTTTCTATCAAGAGATTATTATAATGCAATTACACTGGTTTGTATTTTCTACAGATTGTAAATGGTGTTGAATTTGTTTGTTCTTTCCCTGTTTATAATAAAATAGATACATTAAATAATCATTGTGGCCTATGCTGCCATCTAAAGGTTGTAATGGCCATTGCAGGTTTCATTCATACAGTTGTCGCTGGTTGATGACGCAAAGTTAATGGCCGCTTGCGCTGTGCCGTGCGGAATATTTCTTTTTCCTCACCGTATGGTTTAATTCTGCTTTGGTTTTGACTCGCGGTTGTCTCTTAATTGGATTCCCACTAGAGAGAGACAGTTGTTAACGCCACAGTGCCGTGCTTAAAGACCTCCAATCGGGCAAGGTGATGAAAATGCGTCGATCGTAGGCAGCTCAAAAGAGTGGTCGCGTTGTTAGCTTAGCATATGTTAAGGCTACATTGTTAAACACAACGTTAAATAGTTAGCGATCCGACTATACTGAGGACAACTCCAAAGCCAACCACAGAAGTGCAGATTCATAAAGCAGGTGTCTTTATGACTCTTGCCTCGTTGAAGTCGGGGTTTAGTTCCTCCCGCCCCGTGGTGCTTGGTGCAGGCCCTAGCATTAGCCGCTTTAGCTGTCATGTTTCGCCACAGGTGAACTTGTTGACTTGGCCGCGTATGTTGTGGTAAACCCTCAAGTAGGTATAACATGAAACGATTATTTTATCCGTTTCTTTAAGGGATTCTGTTTCGTTATAACTATTCAGATTCATCAGAGAGTTCATTCATTTTGTCCTTGAATTGAGGAAGATCAGTCACTTCACTATTTTGGTTTAGATTAGATTTTTCATTTTTCACCAATGCCTTGAAAACTCATCAAATTGTAGCTGATATAGTCTTACGGGTTGATTGAGGTAACTTAGATTAAATCTATTCAGTCTGTATGATATTATTATATTATAAATGATTATATACAGTTTTTTGGACCTCAATTTACTATTAAGACATTGCTATATTAGATGCCCCTTGGGGATTGAATTTGACTTTTTATTTTGGTGACTGAGTACAAAACACCCAAGTATTTGTTTGCTTTTTGATTTAGTGTATTGTATATTTATATCATTTATTATTATGATAGTTAACACCTTGTTTCAATTCTTTGCAGCTTGATCTTGAGGAATGGATACTCCTGAGAGCCCGAGTCAGTCCCCTCAGTCGCCCGAGGAGGAGGATCAGGCTCTATCTGACAGTGAGCTGCTTGGTTCTGAGGACGGTGATGCAGACCAGGCAATATCAGACAACGAGATTGTCCAGGAGGAGAGGAGTGTAGAGGAAAGTGAAGAACAAGAATCCAGACTACTGGATGAGGAGCAGGAGAAATATGAATTAGTCCCAGATTTTGTCTCAGACCCAGAGGAGGAGGAGCCAAATAGAGTCACAGAAGATCTGGACAAATCTGTTGTTTTAATGGAGGGTGAGGAGGATGGAGAAGAGGTATCCGGTATTAAGACTGTCGAAGAGGAGCAAAGAGTGAATGATACGCCACTTTCTCCAGAGTCTGAACCTGAACGAGAGGAAATCCAGGAGAAGGTATACAGCGAGGAAGAGGAGGAGGACAAACTGAAACCTGTCGAAGAAGCAAAGACGAGAAGGACTTTAGTGGCTGTTCGAGAGTTGAAGACTGACTCTCCCTCTGTGTCTCGAGAATTGGATGAGCATGAGCTGGACTATGATGAAGAGGTCCCAGAGGAGCCTAGTGTTCCTCCTGCTGAAGAGGAGGAGGAAGATGAGGCAAAGACTGAAGGAGACGCAGAGGTAGAGACTATTAAAAGAAAAGAGAAGAAACCCATCCTTCCTCCTTCTCCCACAGACGACAGAAAGAATGAAGACGGGAGAGGCAGAGCGCGTAGAGACTCTTTTAGAGACAAGAGAAATGACGATGATGATGGGGAGATTGATGAAGGGGAGATTGATGTAAGTGGATATGGCAATGTGTAGTATACTTTATGTAGTTGAATGCTCTATTACATGTGCAAATGTATTTATTTAGACTTTCATAATCCACTTATGTGTGGTTTATATTTGAATATAATCTGAAATAATGAAGTGATGAGCCTTAAATAGTATGACATGGATTGAGTGAAGTAGACTTAAGAAGTTTAAAATTTAGACTATGCCTTTCTGGCCATTTGACAATACCATTTATTCATCCCTGTAAATGAATTTGTGTAAAGGAGTAAGAGATACACCCAATTCCTGTTATATTAGATTGTTATGATTGTAATGCTTTTCCTTGGTATTTTTTTTAGGATGAGGACCTGGAGGAAGGGGAGGTCAAGGACCCCTCAGACAGGAAGATTAGACCAAGACCTATTTGTCGGTTCTTCATGAAAGGTAGGTGAATCCGACTACTGTAGTCTGCCAGTTAGGGTTGTGCCAAAGTTGTTTGCAGTCATTTAAATCAACAGACGCTAATCATGTCACAGTAATGGCTTGAAGGCCTGAAAAGGATAGTATCCACTGATGAGGCCTTCATATTTTTTATTTTGTTCAACAATAGTCACAAAGTCCCCTTCTCCTTTCACCCACATGCAGCAATCAACAAGGGAGGGGGCCTCTGTATCGCTACAGCTCACACACCCCATTTCTCTGCTCACACCTTTTGATTGTTACAAGAAAACTGTTAAACAACTGAAGAGTATACTGTAATGTTCAGCTGGATAGTGTAAACTGCACCAGCTGAATTTCAAAAAGTATTTTTTTTCCACATATAGAGATCACTTGAATTATAAGCTGCAAAATTCCACACAACACCACAGCTGATGGAGGAAAAGAATATACTGATACTGTTTAACCCTTTAAGCGCCAAAGTCGCAATGTTGCGACAAGCAACATTGCTCACTTAAACAGGCCGCATCTATAAATATGGTCCAGAATCTTGTTAATACTTTACACCAGGGGTTAGCTGACATGTGTGCCTGTAATATGAGCAGCATTTGTGGGTGTGGTTATATTGAAAGTTTTAGAGTAAATTGAGTTTGTGAAACACCTGCGGCGCGGAGGCGCGGAGGCGAAGCAGCAGCAGCAGTAGAGCTGAGCGGAGAGGGAGCAGAGCAGAGGGAGAGAGTGTTTTTTCTTTTACTCACGAGGTCTTCAGTACCAGAGAAGTACTTGGTCTGGTACTGGCTCACTCAGATTCAGAGGAGGAAGGTGTCCAGACACGGACATTATTGGTGACGGGGAGACCGCGCCAGAGTCCACAATCAGCCCCTGTACAGTGGCTGCTTCACCTCTGTGTGGCCGCGGTGGAATCATTCTGTGAATGCCAAGCAGGGGACATGGTCGAGGGAACAGGGGGATCATAACATTTGCCTGTGGGAGAAAGAAGCGGGGGTAAACAAACACGGGAGAAGCCGCGGGAAAAAGCACATTGCTAATCGCGTTCACTGCCTTTACAAACGCCGATGATGAGGATGAAGGCAGTTTTTGAGAGAAAATAATCCACAAAAGTGGATCAGAAGTGTTGAAAAGCCTGTTGTTTATTGTTGAGAAGATCTGACAAGTTCTGAGCCCATTCATTTCATCTCTCTGTTTCTAAATGATAAATTCTGGAGTCTCATTTCCACTGAGAGAAATAGTGTGCCCACCACTTCTTTGAAAGGGAAATATTGAAATTAAACTTCAGATTTCCTGACTGTAAACTATAAGGAGTGCTGTCTTGATTATTGAAGGTCTTTGAAAATAATACAATTCCATATGGCCGCCGACCTGTGCTAAAACATTATGTATAATCTGGATCAGGGAATTTATTTCTATCCCAAATTAATTTCATACTAAAGATATTTCACATTTACTGTTGATAGTATTCCCTGATCTAAAAAAACTTCCAAGATACAGCTTTTTGAAATCTTTATACAATAACTTACATTTTCCTATATGGCTCCCACCTTGATGATGTCACAATATGCAAATTAGATGACGAATCAACTTCCATCCCAAAGTTTGGTTCAAACTGAAGATAATTCTAATTTACAGTATGCCTTTATCTCAAACCATTTTAAATTTATAGCCTTTTGAAATCTTGAAATCAAAATTGTATATTTCCTTGAAAAAACTCCGGCGCCTAAAGGGTTAACTGGACACAACATGATTTAATGATGAGATATTAACACACTGTTGACTAATGATGATCAAAACACTTTATTTAATCAAAACCAGATTAATACAAAAAGTACTAAGAGAGTCACTAATCTTTATTTATACTAGAGCCCTGCACTTCAGCCCTTGGCCCGAGGGGCCCGACAGCCCGAGGACTGGGCTTCGGGCCGATGACCGTATAATTACCTCGGACATGGGCCGGGCTCGGGCACTATTATTTATTCCTTTTCAGAGCGGCAGATCACATTTACGAATGCACCCACTGAATATAGCTTTGTATAGTATAGTGTCATCGGGCCCGGGTCCAGATAATAGGCCCGTGCAGGGCTCTAATTTATACATTCCCTATATAGGCGCAATAGGCTGATATAAAAACCCAGGTAGTGGCTCATGTGTGTGCGTCTCATCCATAAGTATATCTTTGGTAAAATGTAGAAATCACAATTATTTTTTTAGCAAGAAGACATCAAAAACTTTTATGTATTTTGTCATAATCAAAGACATGTCTTTATACTGCTTTGATTTGTCTCCAGAAGGGTGAGCTGTTTTTTGCAGCAATTATTTGTTTAATATTGGTCCAATTGGTAATTTCCTAATGACATGTTTTCCCCTAGGAAACTGTACATGGGGCATGAACTGCAGATTCATCCATCCAGGAGTCAATGACAAAGGAAACTATTCTCTCCTCACAAAACCAGACCCCTTCTCTCCAAATGGGGCACCTCCTGGAGGTCCACACCCTCTCATGCCCAATAACCCCTGGGTACATCTAACATTCTATTGTTTTTCTGTTAATCAATTATTGCTTTTGTGAAGAGCTGTGCTTTGGTAGTTGTATGCGTTTTTAGGTTTTTAATTGTGGTACTTGTCGTGATATTGTCTAGGCTGGTCCTGCGGTGGAAGAACTCCCACCACCTCCTCCACCTGTTGAGCCTCCTGTGGAAAGTGCCTGGGAGAGAGGACTCCGACATGCCAAAGAGGTAATCCAAGTTTTCTTATGAGTAATGTGAAAGATTAAAAATCCACAGAGAAATTTACAACATGAAAATTATCTAAAAAAAATTTAATAATTAATATACAATTGTAGTGATTGATCTTTAATCATTGTTATCTTGGTTTATAACAGGTACTGAAGAAGGCCACCATGAGAAAAGAGCAGGAGCCTGACTTTGAGGAAAAGCGTTTTAATGTGACCATTGGGGAGGACGAGAGGGAGTTTGACAAAGAGAATGACTTCTTCAGAGAGCGCAGTTACCGTGTCATCCGAGAGTATGTTACCACTATTTTAAAACTTAACAGAATAATTACACTTATACCTTTTTTATCTACAGTAATGATTTAAGTATTGCCACCTGCATGATTCATGGATCTTGAAAAATATTTGTTGAATTACATAAGATTATAGCCAAAAGAAACATGTACATGTAAACCAGGAGTCTCCAACCTGTAGCTTGGGAGCTTCCAGTAGCTCGCCAGCCTCTTTCAGGTAGCTCCCCAAAGGATTTAGAATTCAACACGTGATCTGATTTGGTATTAGCAGTATTATGGGATATTTTACATGTGTTCTCCATGTTTTGTTGAAATCATAGCATTGATTTTTGTAACTGCAAAAAAAGTAGCTTTTTGCCTCTTCTGTTGTATAAAAGTACACACCAGTTGGAAACATCTGAGTAATGAGTATGGTATGGTATTTTATAATCAAGAGGTAGGATTTTTGCCAGGGTTTTATGTCAGTGGATCTATACTATTTTTGTTTGTTTGACTTGTTTATGTCCTATTTGAGCAGATGGGAATAATACACATTTTCCATTTGTTTTAAGCTACACTGCAAAACAAATGTTTATTTTATAAAGGTTTTATAAAAGCTTTTTACAATCTACTGCAGTGGAGAAATCTTCTCATGAAAAGGACACCCAGTCTTTGTCCACATGGACGGTTTTCCATTTATTCAAGAGGTCTACAGCCACTCCAGCCAAAATATTTAACTGAACTATTAGCCTTTTAAACCGTTTTTGGTCAAATGGCAATGAGTCTTACATTATTTGCAGTAAATCATCCAGTCGTTAATATGTATTCATGTAATAGTTGTAATTTTCTTATCTCAGTGAGATGGACCTCCGAGAGCCTAATTATGGGTAAGTTCTGTATTTTCGAATTAACTCTAATCAGTCATATTGACTTCTTTTGTTTGTTTTTCTTATTAGTTTAAAGATGTGTTTTTATTAATCTGATCCCATCTCATATTGAATTTGTTGCAGGGATCCTTATGCTGACCCTTATTATGACTATGAAATGGAAGCTTTGTGGCGAGGAGGCCAATATGAAAACTTCAGAGTGCAGTATACAGAAGCACCTCTTCCTTACCCCTACAGTGTGAGTATAATAACTTTATCACATTTTTTTGCCGTCCAATGCTCTTTGAACTGCCATTCCTTGACCTCCCCATAGTTTTTTGTCTTGTTTTCGATTGATCCTTAATCATTCATAAGTAATCATGAAGTCACTTAAGTGCTGTTTTACTCCAAATGGCGCTTTACGTTTAGGTTATTTTTCCAAGGTTATTTTAGGTTACTTGAATAATTACGACCAGGATTTCAAGCAGCGTTTGTTGTTTTACCAAATTAGGGTATATTATCCTGCTGTAAATGAAATTGCTGTTGTGAAAATGACAAATGTGTTTGAATGGATACCAAACAAAGTAACGTGACTTGTAATGTTCACCTTCCCCACTGCTAAGCACGTCTTTGACCTGCGTTCCATTCAGCCAGTATTGAAGCTGAATGAAATTCTGCTCCACTGTGATGCACACAGAGCTGGTATTTTATGTACATGATAATGATTTCATTATTAAAATATTTGTCGACATTCTTGTCAGTTATTTTTACCAAATTAATTTCTATTCGTTCAATGCTACAATATTATGACTTAAAAAAAAAAAAGTTAAAAAAACAAGTGATTTGGCTTCACACAGGATCGAGAGCGTGAGCGAGACCTTCGTGAGCGGCCGCGGGACAGAGAGAGGGAGCGGGATCACCGTGAGAGAGAGCGCCGACAAAGAGAACGGGAGAGGGATCGTGAGAGGGAGAGGCTGCGGCGCAAAGATGAGTGGGAACGGGACCGCATGAAGAAAGAGGATAAGGAGAGGCCCAAGCTGCGGCCGCCCCGCGAGGCCCGCGAGAAGAAAGAGGAGGACAAAGTGAAAGGCCGCCCAGACTTTGCTGTTCCGCCAGTCAAGTAAGTGTGACTACACTGTTCATAATGTTATCATAACATACTGCAGTACCAACATTTTGAATATTGCCTAACTTTATATTGGCATTTAAATATAACCCAGGGCTTAAAGTTTTCCGGCACCGTGCCGGAAATCCGGCGTGAGAAAAAAAAAAAAATATATATCACTTTTTTTTTTTTTTTTTTTTTATATATATATATAAATAAATAATGATTGCTGTCATTTGAAAAAGGTTCAAGTGTGTTCTACCAATTGTATGAAAGGATTGCATGTGTATAGCGCAAAGAGTTCCGTCTAAGTGACGGATTTCCGTCAAATGAAATTGGTCTGAAAAAAAAAACAAAATATATAATAATAATATAATACACACAATGAAATGGTTAATTATAACAAAATATATAGTAATACGTGTGAATCTGTTGTATATATCTAGATATATATTAATAATTTGAATATAATTGTATTTATATGTATATAGAAATAAAAAGTAATATAATCACGAGTGGGCCTTGAACGTGCCGTGGCTAGCTACATGAGCGCTCCGTAAATGATTCAAGGCAATGGGACGTAGCCAAGTTAGCGATGGTAACACGGAGGTGAAAGTTTCTGAAAAGTGCACGGAGCTTTTGAAAAGGAGAAGAGGACAAGGAAAATGTAATCCCGAACGGAGCAATAACAGCCAGCAGCCCGCGGACCGGTAAACTGGGCGCGTTATCAGAGGAAAGGTAGGACATAATTAACGTTTACCAAACGCAATGCTTTTTTATTTAACGGAATGTACAATATGTACTTTGCTGTGACTGGGAATGGGGACAAGCATGTCTTGGTGAGCTTTTGATAATATCTTGGTGGCGATCCCCATGCAAAACTGCGTGATAAAAAGAGCCAATCAACGAGAGCGAACGGAAGAAACTCGCTGAAGAAAGGTGTGTGTTAGCAGGTCTTATATTCATTCATCAAAGCTAGCCTAGCATGCACGCACAATCACAATCATGGATCGTTGTTTATGGAAGAAGGAGCAGTATAAGTTGCTGTTGATAACAGTGAAAAATAAATGGAGGTGGGCATGGCTGGATGAGGTGGAGACGATGGGATTCTGTTGCTTCCTGGTGCAAAAAGATGAAGGTGTCCGGTGCTTGTTCGTACTTCGCTATTATTATTTTTTTATATGGGAGTAATGAGAAAACAGCTTTGGATTCACCACCAGCTCAAAACTGCGCACTTGGCAGCTGTCCGTGCACTTTCCCACACTTCTTTACCTGGTGCATCAGATTCAGCGACAACTGAGACTAGGCTTGCTCTGGTGGACTGTGTCTGTGACCTAAAACTAAGTCTGTGGCTTTATCGCAGAAAATAACCTGTCGTTCAGAACCATCACTACCGCTGGTAGATTTAATTATCATTAATCATTTGCAGTTGATAAAACTGCGCTGTGCACTAGCACCAAGTTGATAGGGAAACCTTTTTCTTAAACATTGAGTGTCCACAAACAAATGTGGACAGAATTTTGAATGTCCTTTTGCGATATTTTGACGAGGACAGAGCCAAAGGACAACGCCTCATCTCGCCTCAAGTAAAGCCAATGATGCAGATGAACTACTCTCACTAATATTCTGTCAAAGAGTTGACAAGTTGCTTGATCCACTGGTTGTAATTTCACATCAAAATACACCAGTTTAAATGTATATCTTTGAAGAATTCGTTTGATCTGTAATTCATTATATTTCCATGAGAAAATTTTCAGTCAAATCTTTTTTTTTTGCTTTAACCCCTGGCCGCTTATAAAAAACGCTTATTAGTGATCATTCTATGATTCATATAGATGGTTCAGGCTCAGGAATTTTTTCAACTTTAACCCATGTATAACCGCATTACCAATATTTTATTGTTATACAGACATTACATGTTTGTTCTTAGGCTAACGTTATAAAGGTCTTCTATGATTAATTTATTCATTCATTCATTCATTCATTTTCAACCCCTTTATTATTCAATTTCTGGTTTGGCAATGAGAGCTGCCACCCAATGCTCATAGCACCAGTCCCTCGCTGATCCTCCTGCAGGTTGTGGGTCCACGGGAAGAGGGCTGCTCTGTCAGTGACACAGCAGCATTAAACAAGTCTTTTAGGATTCACTCGTGTAATTAATTTGATCAAACCTGGCAGCTACTCTAAAGCTTAGAGCAGATAGAGCAGAGGCCTCCAACCTCAGGAGCCACCAGTTGCTCACCACCACCTTTCCAATCGCACTGCAGCAGAGTTTCAACTCTTTGGCCCATATGCCACCTTGCCTGGCCTGCCAGACACTCCTCCTTTCTGTTCAAAAGAAGAACCGTCTGGACACCTCTTCCTAGCCTATCATTTCACGATTTTACCCACATCGGTCCAATCACGCACCGAGAGGCGGGACTTCCTTTCACCTTTGAGTTGCTAATAACTCCTCGTATCTTTAAGTTTTTGTTACAAAATCGACAGCAGTCGTTTACATTTGCACTAGCTGACATGCCGCCATCCCTTGTTTTGTGTTTACTGAAACGGCTTGGGTGCCGCTAGTTGCTGCGTCATATCCTGTGTGCATCTAATTGGTTGATGCAGTCTGTCAACCACGCCCACCGGGAATTCGCTGAGATCAAGCTCGTTCCCAGACTATATGTCTTTGAAAAAGCATATCGTTTGGCAGGCCAGGCAATATGCCACCTGTATCGGATGTATTCACATCAGTGACAACAGGACACGCCTGATGCGCATGTGGGTAGAGGCCAGATTCTTGCCACCTCCTCTGAAAAACAAATTACTAGGGATTGAAACATCTATTCCTCTTGTTAACTTCAGGATAGGGTATTACTAGCTTGGAGCTGAAGGACCCATGTGCTCTGGGGATTCTCGCGGTACTGAAGACTAAACAAGACTAAATTCACGTGGGCTACACAGAAATGTTCCCCATAGAACTCACTGTAGACTTAAACAGCTCAACCTCAGCTGACAGAGAACCTACAGCTTTGGTCCGTGTATTTTTCGTTCAATTGTTTTTTCAAATTTAGATGAAATATCAAAAAATGGCTTGAATTTTCATTTTGATGAGGAAAAGGAAAAACAAAAAATTGCCTTGATTTGATTTTTTGTTTTGATGCAAAAAATGAAAAAAACAAAATATTGAAATAATGCTTTCAGGCCGATTTTAATTTAGTTTTGGGGCAACCGGAAGTATGTGCCAAAGGCTGTGCACCATTATGTTCTTCCGGATGGGAACAGCAGAAAGCAGGCTGGCGCACGGAGTGCATGCATAGCCAAAGCAACGAAACGGGACATTTACTTTGTGGAGCTCAACTGTATTTTCCACAGAATCTTGCGCAGCCTTTATAATAGATGATATGTTATCATATGTTTTAAAAATGTTACCCAAAGGTACAGTTAAAGTCAGGTCATATAGGTGTTACGCCTTTCCTGTTTTAAGCCCCCAGACTGAGGTCGAGGGGCCCAGGGGAAATTTGTTGCTCCAGGGCCGAAGGGATGCTTTCCTCCGGGGCGTACCTCCTTCTAGTTTGACCCTCACTGTCAAAAGCGTGGTGCGGATTTAATCAATCAATCAATCAACTTTATTTGTATGGCGCCTTTCCAACACAAGGCCACTCAAAGCGCCTCACAACCCACATAGTATCACACAAATCAGAGACATCAATAAATACATTAAAAACAGAATAAAATCACAAATAATGGAAAAAAAAAAAAAATATTAAAAGCACACACGGGATTAAAATAATAAATAACCACAATGCATTTAAAAAAAAAGAGTATGTATCAATAGAATCCTTCAGCCGTATGCACAGCTAAAAAGAACAGTTTTTAGCCCCGATTTAAAAATTGCCAGAGTAGATGCTAGCCTCACATCTTCAGGAAGATTGTTCCAGATTTTAGCTCCATAAATCTCAAACGCTGCCTCCCCATGTTTAGTTCTGACTCTTGGAACCAGTAAGAGGCTACCTCCTGTGCTCCTCAGAGTCCGGGTCGGTTCATATGGGACTAACAAGTCGCTTAAGTACCCTGGTGCGAGGCCATGGAGAGACTTGTACACAAGCAGTGCTGCTTTGAAGTCTATTCTCTGAGCCACAGGAAGCCAGTGCAGAGACCTGAGAAACTGGACTAATGTGGTCATATTTCCTGGTCCTGGTCAGGACTCGAGCTGCAGCATTTTGGACATACTGCAGTTGTTTTACAGCCTGTTTGGAGAGACCTGTGAGCAGGCCATTGCAGTAGTCTAACCTACTGGAGACAAATGCATGGATGAGAATCTCCAGATCTGATTTAGACACTATGTTTCTAATTTTGGCAATGTTTTTCAGATGGTAAAATGCTGCTGATGTTACTGATTTGATATGACTGTTAAAATTTAAGTCTGAGTCCATTATAACTCCTAGGTTTCTGACCTTGCCTACAGGTTCCAGGGAGAGAGACTGGAGGTGACGAATAACGCTCTCTCTTTGTTTCTGAGGACCAAAGACAATCAATTCTGTTTTGTCTGCGTTTAGCTGAAGGAAGTTATTTTGCATCCAATCACTAATCTGTTGAGTACAGTGAAGGAGTGATTCCACTGGTCCATGTTCTCCTGCAGTAAGTGAGACATAAATTTGAGTGTCATCAGCGTAATTGTGGTAGGATACATTGTTGGAGCGTATTAACTGACCTAACGGCAGCATGTAAATATTGAACAGAAGAGGCCCCAGAATTGATCCCTGTGGCACTCCGCAGGTCAGAGCCATATGATCTGAGACACAGTTTCCTATCTGAACCAAGTATTTCCTGTCTTCTAGGTAAGACCTAAACCAACTTAGGGCAGTCCCAGTGACACCCACCCAGTGCTCTAGTCTCTGCAGGAGGATCTCGTGGTCGACTGTGTCGAACGCAGCACTCAGATCCAACATTACTAAAACTGTGACTTTTCCTGTGTCGGTGTTAAGTCGGATGTCATTTGTAACCTTCACTAGTGCAGTCTCAGTGCTGTGATT